ATGACCCACACAATTTTGCCTCTGTTGGGGATTGCACCCTGTCAGTTGCCCCCCTAGTCTGAGATAGCCCTCTGTGGCTTGCTAACATGTCACTCTGAATGCTCTCTGAAAACCTTCTTTGTCCACCCCAGCAGCCCACTTCAGAAGTGGTGGTGTTATTCTGAGGCAGGGTTCGGGGTGCCATGAAGAATAAAGCCATGATTGTGTCGAAAACCAGAAGAGGATAAGCAGCTAACACAAACATGAAGAAGGCCGGAGCACGTGCCGTACCGGGGACGACAGGAGGCCGCGTCCCGGGCCTGCTCTGGGTGCGCATGTGCAGCCTGACGGGCTTGCTGCTGAGCCTTCCAGGGTTCTCTTGTTTGGCAAACTCACTGAACTCTAGGGACATTGCCCCGTCTTCCTGCGGGATACCAGACCGTGCCTACTATTCCTTGTGGATGGGGAAACTCCCATGTAACGCTTTTGGTTTCTGGAGGCACTGTGAATCCCCGAATCTCACACACACATCCGGATCTTCCTCAGAGCTCTGCCCCAGACACCTGAGCTCCCTCCATAAATTGGAAAGGACATTACAGTCTTCTGCCCTGATAGAAAAACTTTGCACTCTCTCCTCACCCCCACACTGCTTTAGAAACTTTTAGTAGAAGTGTGGTCATGTGTTTTGAGGCACTTACATTATTTCAGTGACAGTTTCCCACCACAAGGGATACTGAAATGCAACAGGAAACAGTGAATGTGAACAGCTAGGCCTTGGCTAAATTTAAATGGTGGAAACTTTCTACCAAAATATTTTCCCCAGACGTTCACTTTATTTAGTTTTAATGACTACCCACTGGATCATTGTGGTAAGATGCCACTGACCAACCAGGAAATTGGAGAATAAATAAAGGAACTCTAGTTCTTTTTTTTTTTTTCTCTTTTCTTTTTTGTGGATGGAAATGGAAAACCAATTCTCTTGGCCCAAACTGAGCAAATAGTTTGGAGTACAGCATATTTTGTTATTAAAACTAATATGACTGGGCCCAGACCATGGCATGGTGGCACATGGTGGCACATGCCTGTAATCCCAGCACTTGGGAGGCTGAGACAGGATTGGTGTAGGTTCAAAGCCAGTCTGGGCTACAGAGTGAGTTGAGTACAGTGAGAATTATATAGCAAGACCTTGTCTCAAACCGAACCAAACCAAACCCAACACAACCCACCCCCCACTCAAAAATCTATGACTTATTTTTTAAGGCTAATACAGTCAGTTATGGTGAAGCACAACCGTAATCCTAGCATTTGGAAGGCTGAGGCAGGAGAACTGCAAATTCAAAGGCAGCCTGGGCTACACAATGAGTTCAAGGCCAACATGGATTATATAGCAAGACCTTTTCAACAAAACAAAACAACAGTGACAACAACCAAAAGAGTAGAAAAAATCTGAGGGAAAAGGAAGGGAATATTAACATTTAGAGAACACTTTAAAAAAAAATTCTGAGGATTTTGTATCAGAGTCTTCTCCAAGCTACGTCCCCAGCACTTAATTAATTATTTTTTAAAAATTTGAGACAGTCTTGCTAAATTGCTCAGGCTGGGTTTGAAATTTTTTTATTAAGTTTTTTGGTACATTTTAGTTATACATAACGATCACATTCATCACAGGGAATTTGTACCTGTACATGATATAACTTGATTCTTTTTTCCTCCGTATTTCCCTACTTTTCTTTTAACCTCTTTTCCCCTCCTTATTTACAAAAGTTTGTTTCAATTTTTTCATTATTTCTGATTTTTTCTTTTCCCTTTCTTCCTTTTTCCCTTTCCACTCCCTAGTTCCATTTCCCATTTGAATATTTTCTTCCTATTTCACAATATCTATTTTACATTTTGGTCCTTTTTCACACTTTCAGTTTGCCATACCAGAGAACCACTATTTACACATGTGTGTTCAATTTATTTCATTTAAGACTATGTTCTCAAAGTGCATCTCTTTAGCTATCTCCTTCTTGATGGCAGAGTAGTACTCTATTGTAGAAAAAAATCACATCTTTTTTATTTATTGATTGGTTGATAGGCATTTGGGATGTTTCTAAGATTTAGCTATTACAAACTACTGATAAACACATGGATGTGCCTATATAGCTGTGGGATGGTGTTTTTAATTCTTTTGGGAAGATACCAAGAAGAAGCTCTAGTTCTAGTGTTTTGAGGGCTCTCCACATTGATTTCATAGTGGTTGCACCAATCTACATGCCCACCAACAGTGGAGAAGTGTTCCTTTTTCCCCCACCGGCCCACTAGCACTTGCTATTGGTTGATTTCTTGATGATAACCATTTTTTCTGGAGTAAGATGGAATCTCAACATTGTTTTAATTTGCATTTCTCAAATGACCAGTGATATTGAACATTCAGATGCCCCATCTTTAAATTTGGATTGGGTCTTTAAATTTGGAGGGGGTCTGATTTTTTTTAAGTTCTTTATATAGTCTATTTTAAAATTTTATTTATTTGTTTTGGGGATCAAAATCATGACTTTGTGCTTGCCAGGCAGGAGCTTGTGCTGCCGAGCTATATCCCTGGTCCCTGTGTATTCTGGATAGTAGTCCTTTGTCTGAGGAACAGCTGGAAAATTTTTCCCCACACTGTGAGTTGTCTCTTCACTCTGTTGTGGTTTCTCTTATTGTGCAAATGCTTTTTAATAAGATGAGGTCCCAGTTGTTGATACTTTGTGATAGTTCCTGTAGCATTTTGTTCATAAAGTCTTTGCATACACCAATGCCTTCAAGATTTCTACCTAGTCTACATGCCAGCAGATTTGGTGTTTCTGTTTTCATATTTAGATCTTTGACCCATTTTGATTTTAGTTTAGTGCATGGTGAATGATATAGATCAGTTTTAATCTTTGGCATGTGGAAAGTCAGTTTTTTGGGCTTGAACTTTTAATTCTCCTGTCTCAGCCTCTCAGAGGGTTGGGATCATATGCATGTGTTACCCTGCCTGGCTCAGGCATCATTTTGCTAGGTTAATAACATGAAGAATTCTATGTAATTCTCATAACATTTCATGGTCAAAATTACTACCTGCTTTCCACTTTTCCCCTTTTTGGGTAAAGAAACAGGTTGGATAAGTTAACTTGCTTGTTGCTTTGTGCTTCTAAGGATTAGACAGAATTTGAACTGTGGACCTCTTTTTATTTTTCTCTTGTGTCCTAAGGAGAAAGCTCTATGGAGTCTTAATGAAATAAAATCTCTTATGTTAATGTGTCCTAGTTGTTAAAGTAACACCATGTATTAAGAAAAACACATACTTTTATAGAACACTCATTTCCAGTTATGTCTGTTTTTTTTTTTTAAATAAGTTTTTGGTTCTTGTTTTTTTTTTTAAAGACAGAGTCTCATTGGGCCCTTCAGTCTGGCCTTGAACTTACTATGTAACCCGGGCTGCTCTTAAACTCACTGTGATCCTCCTGCCTTAGTCTCCTGAATGCTGGGATTACAGGCATGTGCCATTTAATGCTAACTCAGAACAGAGTTTGCATAATTGTAAGCAGCTCTTGAGTATAAAGATATTAACAAGCCTGGTGTAATGGCATGTGCTTGTCATCTCAGCACTGTGGGAGGCTATGGCAGATGGATTGCAAATTTGAGCCAAGCTTGGGCAACTTAGTGAGACCACGTCTCAAAATAAAAAATAAAAAAAAGGGCTGGGTGTAGCTCAGTGAGGACTAGGTTTAATCACCAGGAGAGCAAACAACAAAACGGACTCTTTCCAGTGCCCTCTGAACCCTAGTTTCCCCAACCACAGCAGAGTCCTGCTGTGGGGAAGATAAAAGAAGAGCTAGAGTACTAAAGGTCCACCCTACAAATTACACCAGGGAAAATTAGAGATCATTTTAGCAGCTCAGCGAGTCTAACATATTCTGGGCCTGTTTCAATTCTGCATTCTCCTCTACTTGTTTGTAGAAACATAGTTTGGTAGGACTTCCACCAATTCCAATTTCAAGATCTGTCACCACTTCCTAGCAGGTAAAACTGGGCAAACCTAAGGAATTTGGAGATGGGTAGAGAAAAATATGTTCCCTCGTACTGAGCCATCCTACCCTTTCTTTGAGGGACATGTGACTCTAACGAGTTGGCCTTAGAAACAAGCTTGAGCCAGGTAAGATGGAAGAAGGAGGTCATCTCAAGAGTTGGCAGCAACGCCTTGACCATCTCTACTGTCCTGGCAGTCTCAATAGTTAAGAATCTGGTTCAGCCAAAGGTCTGGGAAAGAAGCACGAATGAATGACGAATAATTTGAGTCTCCTGGTTCTTGCAAAAGGCTGACCAAAGAGTGACTTTAAGAGCTATGAATCATTTGTAGCACACACTCTCTGCCCCCTAATTTGCAGATGCTCGCTCTTCTGAGATTTCACTTTACACACACCCAGTTTAGCTGCAAAAGCAAGACAGCTTGGGAATCTCAGTTTGCATCTGAAGAAAACTCACACTGCCTTCTTGAATTTCCTCAGGTTCCCCAGTCGACATTGTCCAGGTCTTCTGAGCCTCATAAACCTTTATATAACTCTTATGATCTGTGTGGTAATTCCATCTTTTTTAGGTTATTTCTGCGTGTTCCTTAGGGGCCAGTACACCCTCACTCAACGCGCGCGTCTCCAAAGGCCCCAGCCCCTATATTAGCTGAGGGTGGGAGCATCAGTAATGCAGGTGGAAAGGCACAGGACCCTCTAATAACCTTCTTCAACCTCGGATTTCCGAAGAACTATGCCGCTGGGTCTGCGCGCAGCGCCCCCCAGCGCTGGCCTCCCCAAGGCGAGCTCGGACTCTTGCAGCACGGGGCAGAGAGCCGGGCGCGCATTTCCTGCCGCGAGGCGGCCGGGGGAGGGGCTTCAGCCACTAGCCCCGCCCCCGTCCTGCTCCCACCTCTCCCGCCCTCTTACTCTCCCTCACTCTCCCTCCCCCTCCCGGGCGGCCAGGGTGCCGCGGGGGTGGAGCCGCGAGGGGTGGGCGGCGTGGCGGAGCGGGCGGGGAGCAGCGGCCCGGGTGCCGACGGACCGAGGCGGGCTCGGGCGCGGAGCCGGGGCGCGCGGCGCGGGAAAGCACAGCCTAGCGGGCAGGACGACGAGCCGGCGGGCGGCGGCGGCAGCGGCGGCTCCCACCCGGCCAGTGCAGGGCCTCGGGTCGAGCCGTGCGGGGCCTCGGCGCGGGGCGCGGGCAGCGGGAGGAAGCGGCAGCGTGCGCCATGGCGGGCGGACCCCCCAAGGCCCTGCTGTCCTCGGGGCCCCACTCCCTGCGCGACATGCCGCACCCGCTCGCTGGCTCCAGCAGCGAGGAGGCCGTGGGCGGCGATAGCACGCCCAGCCCAGACCTGCTGGTGGCCCGCAGCTTCGGTGACAAGGTAGGGCGCCCGGGGCTGGGCACGGGCAGGCTTCTGTCGCCCGGAGGTGGGAGGGTGCTGGATCCAGAGCCGCGCGAGGCCGGGCGCCGCGCCCACCCTGGCGGCTATTCCCGGGGTACGGACGCGCCGTCGCCCCCGGAGCGCTCGGCGAAAGCATCTCTTCTGTGTGGCCCCCGCGGGGTCGCAGCGCAGGGGAGCGGCCCGGGGACCGCAGTCTCCGGCTGTGACTGGTTGCGAGCGCGAGGGTGACAGCTGGTGGGGAGGGGTCCTGTTTGCAGGCTGCGGCCAGAGTGGAGCGTGCTGCGCCCCGTGCGTGTGTCCTAGACTGGGGGCCCCGGGTTTTTGTAGGTGCACCCCTGCAGGCAGAGCCATCGAGTAACTTGTAGCGCCTGGCGTTCCCTGGGACTGCACGGACGCGAGCGAGAGTTAATGGCTTTGTGGGTTAGGACTGGGCAGCTTCGTCTTGCGGGCGAGAGCTGTCTTCTCAGTCATGTGGGGAGTGATCTTTGTTTAGGTTTGCTGTTTGTCCTAAGTAGTCACCTGACTTAGACCCCAGCCAGGCAGGAGGAGTGTCTTACTGTGGTTTTCTGTCTGGGGCTTCATTCATCTCTGATGGCCTACCACACTGTTTAGGTTTGGCAGAGGCAGACTTTGTGGCTGATGGAAAGAAGGCTCGCCCTTTGACCTTCTTTGTGCAGTGGGAGGCTCCTGATTTTCTTAGAATGACACAACCTTCTTGCTTTGAGAGACAGAAGAGTCCAGAGAGGGGAAGAAGCGCCATCTCCCCTGCCCCCATCACAATTTCTGCTGTGATCAGGATTTTGAGCAGTGATCTGTGCCTCTGTTGCCACTTAGTCATTAATTGTAGACATTTGGATTGTTCTCAGTACTTATCAGAATTTCCTCCTTTTAGTCAAATACTAAATGAATTCCACCCTGTCCTAACATTAGTGGAATAAGGAGAACTTTCTTCTCTGCTTAGATGGGAGGGCACGTGGTATAGTAAAAACGAGTATAAGATGAAACTTGCTGACCTTACAGTCAGAAGGCCCAGAACATTAAAAAAGAAAGCTGGAGAGTGGGGCTGATATATATCTTCTGGAGAAGGTTTGTAAAACATTAGGAAGAAAATTTAAGCTAATGAATGCAGTGGATTGTGCAGCTCGAGATGTGTGTGCATGTGTCTTTGTAGTTATTTCTTTTTATTTTATAGAATATTATAGACTATAAAGGCTCATGTAATTTGAAAGTATCTTTCCCAGATTTGACACTCAAAAAACTAACTTGATGACTAAATGATGAATTTGATGCTTTGTTACGAACAGAGAAATTAGTCTTAAATAAACTTGTGTAGGTTGGGATTGAGGGTTAAACTTTGTGATTTTCTTCTTAGTTTCGTATAGGTTAATGAATTATCTATTGCTGTTAAACAAATACCTCCAAATTTAGCACCTGAAAATAGTGTCTGCTGGTCAGGCATTTGGGAGCAGTTTACCTGGGTGATTCTGAATTAGGACTTTGAGGAGGCTGCTGTCCTCTGAAGGCTGGATTGGGGGAGGGTGGTCTTCCACGTCCACTCGTGGCTATTGGTCAGTCTTAGTTACTGTCCAAAAGCCAGCTGATATGACAGCTGGTTTCTTCTGGAGCAGATGATCCAAGAGTGCCCAAAGACTTGTATGAGCCAGTCTTGTATGAGCTAAACCTCTGCTGTGTTCTGTTGGTCACACAGATCGATACTAGTATAAATGTAGGAAGAGGGTTTGCATATCAGGAAGTGAAGGACATTGGTGTCATCTTGGAGGTTGGCTATTACAGATAGTTTTTAAATTTTATTGTATTTTTTGTTCTTCTGAGACAGGGTCTTGCTATATAGTCCAGGCTGGTCTTGAACTTGTAGCCTGGGCTGGCCTCAAACTTGCAGTCTTCTTGCCTTAGTCTCCAAAGTGCTGGGGATTACAGGTGTGTGCCATCACACCTAGATCAAATAGCTATTTTAAGGTAATTGTCCAGTGATCCATTCTTGGATGATTCCTGACTCAGAAATGAAACCTTGTTACTAATAAATGACCAGTACTGCCATGATCTGGTTAGTTGGCAGAAAGTGAGGCCCAAATTTGATTATTGATGGCTTCCTTTACAGGATTAAGTTCCTTGAGAGAGACAGTGTTGAAGGCATTATTATTAATTATTGAATATTTAATAAGTCTCCTAACAACTGTGGGGAGCATCTAAATGACATCAGTCTCCAGGGCCTGATTTATAATAAGCCACTTTTCCTTAGAGGCTAAACATTGTGATTTGTTTCTCTGACTGGAGTAACATTTTCCTTGAGATTGGCGTACACATGTACTTTTATAAATTTCTATAGTGAGAGGCTAGGCAAATAGCAGAGGGGAGTCAGAACGAGGGAAAAAGCCTTCCCTCTGCTCTGCTTTCTCTTGCCTTAGGAAGCTTGGGGGTCGTTGGATGGTAAGAGGGAGAGCTGAGTATTTTGGTCTGTCTTTGAGAAGAAGTCAGTTTTCTTACCCTTTTGGACATTGGGATTATGATCCTGGATGATAAGGATTTGTTTCTGGGCAAGAACAGTGAAGATTTGATAGGCTGCCCTTAATGCAGGGTTGCTGTGTAGAGGGGACTTGCTTGCTGTGGGCCAGGATATAGGTTTTGTGTCTTGCTCGGGCTGACCCTTCTGATTGGCCTCTACAAGCGCTTGAGTAAGAGAGAATGACTGCATGTGGCTAGCTCTTCACCCATCAGCTTCTAAGTCATTCAGACTCTGGTATGATGGGAGGAATCCTGACCAGTTCGTCTGTTGCCAGCTAAACCCACCAGGCCCTAGATCTCTACATCTTTTCTCTCCACCTAAAATGTAAATAAATCACTTGACCTAATTGCCTTTTTTTTATTTGTACCTGCGAGTTGCCCTGAGCTGTCTCTCCTCCGATTCAGTCTCAACTTCACTCTGCCTCCTGAAGCTGAATAGCTGGCCTCTCTCCTCCTGGTCTGTGGTTAACACCCCTTCCAGCATCCTGACCTTTTCACTGACTCTTCCACTTACTTTCTACCCCTTGGGGCACAACTTTCCTGAAGTCTGGAATGGGAATGTCTTTTTCTCCTCTACTATGTTTGTGTCAGTGTCTCAGGAGGTAGGAATCAGTCTTGTCCTTTCATTCTCAGTTGCCATTTTTTTTTTTTTTTTTGTGGTACAGAGGATTGAACTTAGTATCTTTACACTGAGCTACATCCTCAGGCCTTTTTTATCTTGTATTTTTGAGAGAGTCTTGCTACGTTAAATTGCCCAGCCAGGGCTTGAACTTGGGGTCCTCCTGCCTCACCTTCCCAGAATACTGGATTACAGGAATGTTCCACCATGCCCAGTTTCTCAGTTGGTTTTATACACTAAGTTCTGCACCTTGGAGCTTGTGTCATTATTTTGCTCAGCAAATATTTTGGGCCTCCTCTGACCCAGATGCTGCTTGAGGAACCTGAGATGAATAAACGAGCCAAAGACCTTGCCTTTGTGGGCGTATATTTTAATGATTGTATCCTGTATTATGCAGTAAATGCTGTTTAAGGAAGAAAAAGAAGAGCAGGGCAGGGGTTCAGGATCATTGGCCAGAAGACTAGAGATTCAAACAGGCCTTGGTGAAAACTTCAGGCTGAGCAGACTTGAAGGAATGAAGGAGTTAGACTGGAGAAGACTGTGATGATGGGGAAGAGCTGAAGCACAGGCCTGAGGGTACGGGTCTCCCGTACCGTGTGTGGGGAGCAGCCAGGAGGGCACTGTGGCTGGGGCAGTTTGAGCAATGGAGAGCAGCAAGCTGAGGGAAGCGAGGGGTCTGTTGGTGGGGGCTGGGGGGCCCTGGGGACTTCAGCCTTTGCTTTGAATGCCACAGGAGTTGGGACATACAAGGTCTTGAACAAGTGGAAGGCATGGTTGGATTTATCTGCTGGAAAGGAGCTTGCAAGAATTGAGATTACCTTTATTTGACTACTATCAAATCAGTTAGGATTCTTTTCAAAGGACATAGCCAAAAGCGAACTAGGTTAAAAAAAAAAGTACTGAGTGCAGTCACTGAAAAGCCCTGGGGTATTCTGGCCTGAGCGATGGCTGCAGCCAGGTTGAAGTCCAGAGCCGCGTGTCACTTGCCTTCTCTTGTCTCTGCTTTCTTCAGTGCTGGTTTTAGTCTTAGGTGAGCGAAGGGATGTGTCCGGCCTCACATCTCCAGCAGAAAGAGAGTGCCACTTTCCTGATAGTTACAGCGACGACAGCTCTAGGCTGGTGCCTTGTTGGCCTAAATTGGGTCAGGTGCTGACTGATAGCGCAGACTTGGGTCAGGTGCTTTCCCTTTGCAGTGAGGAGAGGGAATTACAAAAAAAGGGAAGTATATACACGAGGTGGTAGACTTGTGCTGGTATAATTTAGATAATAAAATGTATTTGTGTAGCTTAGAGAATAATAAAATGAACATTCACGCTCCATCCCCCATAGCAAGACATGATTATTACTGGTATGTTGGAAGTCCCCTCTGTGCTGGTGGCAGGAAGGGGATGGTTCTCATAGTAACATCAGGGAACTGTCGCTAGAAGGAGGACTGAATGTTGGGTAAGCAGGAAACAATGAATTTTCATGCAGACTTTTCCATACCTTTTTCTTCCCTTTTATTTTCTGATATCATTACTTTTTACTCTTATTCATTAAAATCTTGAAATCCAGTTTAATGTCTTTTCTTTTTTCAGTACTGGGAATTGAACTCATGACCTTGTGCTTGCCAGGAAGGCACTGTGTTGCTGAGTAATGTCTTTTCCAATCATGTCCTGTGCCCAGTGTGGTGGTAATCCTAGCATTCGGGGGGCTGAGGCAGAAGGATCGCCTAAGTGCAATGCAGGCCTGGCCCACAGAGTTCAAGCCCGGCCCGTAATATACAGCAGTGTCTCTCCCCCACACCCCTTCAACTAGGTCTTCATGTTGGGGAACCTAACCATCTACATGGTTCATC